AAAAAAAAAAAACAATTTAAAAAAAACAACAAACAAAAAACGGTATAAAAAATCTTGTTAAGGTTGAAGCGCAATAACAATGAAACAAATGTAAGGAACTAAAATTTCTGTACCGGTATTAAGAAGTGATTCAATTTTTCCTCATGTATAAATGTCACTTTCATTCATCATTAACAAAAGCTGCAACTGAGTTTATTTTAGTTGGTACCCTTTTAACAGAGAGAGAAAAAATTGATATTTAATTAAATTCTTGCTTAAGCTATTGAAATCTAATTTTTAACAATCATAGAAAATTAATTATTTCTATAATTTTTTTTGAAAAGTTTGATATTATCCTCTCACATGTACAGAAATATATTTATATGTACATGTTATTGTACATTATTTATGTTCAATTTTAAGTTAAGTTATCTCTGAAATTTAGCATTTAACTTTTTTTTTTTGTTGGAGAAAACAATTATAAAAATCCTTTTAAACTGATTATTTTTCAATGGTGGCATCAGAAATAGAGAGTAGATAAAAAAAAAAAATCATTTGATTGGTTTCTCAATGGCTGGCATGAGAAATAGTTCTATTTAAAACAATACACTAGTTGCAAACTTCATTTTATCACAGAAGAGGTCATTGAAAAATTGATATTCAAACACAGATCCAGGGCCGGACTTACACGTACTGAGGCCCTAAGCTATACAAAGTCCAGAGTACCCTACCATATTAAATTACATTTGCTGGTCAAAGAATTTTTTTTTATATATACAGCCGGCAGATTGTGAGGTCCAAAGCTGTAGCTTATTTGGCTGATAGTTAAATCCTGCACTGCACAGATCATGCAAATAGAAACACTTAAGTTTGAAAATCACATACCATTCTTCTTTTATAAAAATTCATTCAATCACCATCAGTGATTCTGTTTTTTTTTAATCTTCTGCTGCTTCCTGGTAACACTTAGTAACATCAGTGTTAGAGACAAAAGTTTCCAGAACAGCCTCCTTTTCATCAAGAATGGAATTTTCTGTTGGTAATAACTGCTCGTAAATCACGGCTCAGTGTTGTGTTGGGGAATTCTCATCAGCATTGGCTCCTTTTTCAGCTTCCCTGACAAAACCATGAGGTACCTGAAATATCTTTAGTGAGACTGAAGCCTGAAAACATGTTACCTTATGAAAAGCAGACAAAAGATAAACTGAGATTGTATCTTTATAAGGTTTTTTTGTCCTTGATAACAATAACATTTTTTCAAAGTATGTTGTTAATTTTAAAAATAAATCAGTTTAAAGGGAAATTTGTATATTAATAATATCCCTTTATTAATAAAAGACATTGTTTCATTACTTTTTAAGTTAATAAAAAATAAATCAACTAAATGATCACCATGAAACATATTATTTGACAGTAGAAATTCCACATGGAATAATGCACCTGTATTAAAAAACTGTAACTGATGGTTCATTTCCCCTATGGAAGGCAGCCACCATCATGCCATAGTAGCTTGGATGATGATTAACTAACAGCTTAGGACTCCACGACTTCAGGTCACCTGCCTGGGTAAGAAACGACAAGGGCGTCATTGGGGAGTCATTTAAAATATGTAATCATACATAATATTAATAACATTTTGTAAAAATGTATAACTTTGATCTGACTGTTAACAGGATTTGGTCAGGTATATACATAGCAATTTTCTGTTATTCCAGAATTTTATACCATCAACCAATAACAGAATCACTGTGCCTTCTGTACATTACTTGGACTAATTTTCATAACTTTCACAGTCACTGCAAAATCGTACATACTGTAATAAATTAGGTAGTAATGAATGCTACAGCTAATCAGACATGTGATCAAACAAGTGAACCAACATAAAGTACCTGCATGAGTCCATGAAGAAGCACCAGTCCAGTATAACCACATGAAAGGGCCTGGTCAACATAAGAAGCTGCTGTAACCAACAAGGCATCAGAGTCCAGCTGTGAGGCCCATTGACCACAGGCCTGTATTAATCAGAGGCACCAACAACTAATAATTTGTTATGTACCCCTGAATGCCTAATATATGTTAATGTAGGTAAATAAATACATACACATTTTTTAATAATGTAATTTTGTTAGCTTGCGACGATCTTCTTGGAATATCTACATGTTTCACATATATTATACACAAGATTTAATGTTAATGAAATGTCATTAAACTAATGCAATGTGCATGTTTTAATGTTATCATATTTATTAATAATCACTGAATTATACATTTTTAATACAGTGACAATGTAGTATCAAAGGATTAATCAAGTTAATATTACAACATTAAATAGATTGTTTTGCTCAAATCTTAAGCAGTAGTAAAAAACAGAAGTGAAAAGAAAAAAAAAAAAAAAATTAGCTATCAAATTTTTAGACTTCCAGTCAAATTTAACCAGCCTAATAACATTGCATGACCAGAGACAATGTAGTATCAAAGGATTAATAAAGTTAAAATTACAACATTAAATAGATTGTTTTGCTCAAATCTTAAGCAGTAGTAAAAAACAGAAGGGAAAAGAAAAAAAAAAAAAAAATTAGCTATCAAATTTTTAGACTTCCAGTCAAATTTAACCAGCCTAATAACATTGCATGACCAGTTAAAAAAGCTTATTTATATTTATTTAAATGTGTTTTGTTTGTTTGTACTGATGAAGGCATGTGCCGAAATTTTTACTTGTGTATAATGTATAATTATTATTAAAGCGTAACTTATATTGTTCTTTGACACAATTTGTTTGTGTCTTTTTAATATATTTTAAAGCTTTATTGCAGTCCAACACTTTTTATAATTAGTTAACAAAACCCACAATGTCAAATAAAATAAAATGAATTTAACCTCATCAAATGGTTCTGAAGTGTTAGAGTAGCCGTACGGCCCACTAGCATCGTGGGTATGAGCCAAATCTGCACTGATAATGACAACAATCCTTTTGGGGGATCTCTCTAAGATTGAGTATAATGATGAACCTTTTGACAAAAAACACATTTAAGGGAAAGAGTTACACCAGTGAAAGGTAACCTAATATCAAGCTTTCCATTGCAGACAAATGTACACAGCACCAAAAATACAACAAATTTATAAACTGAAGTTGATTTACATTTAATTTTAAAACTTCAACTATTTAATGAAAAATTTCTTTTTTTTTTTTAAACTTCAAAATTTTGTGTAAGGTAAGTAGTAAATCTTAAAAACAAAGCTACTGATTTAAAAAAAAAGTAACCTCTTAAATTAATCAATAAAATTTAGATGGCAGTTACCGCTTACCCAAAGTTAACAGTTCAGGAATCATTGCAATGTCTTGTGAATATCTACGACTGGGTTGAGAAAGAATCACGGCTTTCATGTTGGTTAATCCTTGAAGGAAATGAAAAGGGATCACTTCACCCCATCTGGTAAAATGAAACAAATTTACAAAGACAATGCTTTTGTGTAAGAAATATAATGGATTCAACAATGAAAGTATGCAGCTAAAAGTTTGCAATGAAATCAAAAAGAATTTAAAATAATATACAATACAAGTGTACGGGTCATTAAGTATATTAGAGTAATTTCAGTAATTGTAACTAGAAAACTTGATTTCAAATGTTCAGAAGCTTCAAAATAATTAAAAAAATAGAATTTTAAATTGGTCTTTATTTCATTTACCATTAAATTATAAAAAATGTCATTAAATAATAAAATAGATACTTTTTTAAAAATTATTTTCTATTTGGGGGCCCCTTTTGCCTACCCTAAATTTTACAATTTAATGGTGTTTAAGAGTAATTTTAGGGTCAGAAAGCACAAGTTGGGAACCATATAATTTGGTGCCCAGAAGAAGATTTACAAATTTATGAATGCCTCAAAAGAAATTTACTGTTGTTCTGTCATCATATTAGAAATGATTGTGATGTTATGAGGAATTCATTTAACAATTGCAATTACCACTGTGCAATAATATCAATCAAGATTATTTTTGTATGAACTGGACTTGGTGATATTAGAACAAGTAAATAAAGCAAAGGCTTTAGGTCTAGACAAATTACATGGAAAGCTTGCTGCACATCTGTCCTTTCTTTTTCCTAATTTAAAAAATCTTATGCTAAAAAATAATGCCTGCACAATATAGTCCAATGGCAACATTACACATTTTGGTCAATTTATTCTTCATAACTCGCCCTAAATGTATAAATGAACTCCCCTTGTTAAGAGTAAATTTTTCTTTTTTTTATATTAATATGCTAAAGGAATGTTTTTTGATTAATGACATTTAAAATTAATATTCCATAGTGTAGTTCATTATAATATTTCAAAACAAGGCTATTTTTGTATGTTCTGATCATCTGTAAATGTAGCATGCATTTCATGCATGTTTTTGTTTAGGTAAGGGAGCAACCCCATATCTAGAGGGATGCAATAAAGTTGCTAAGTTCGTCATGAAATTAATTTACTGGCTGAAATTATGCCGGGAAAGGAGGCGACTGCAGGTGGTTGACACTTCTTACCGCTCATCTAGAGAGATACAATAAAGCTTCTATGTTCGCCATGGACAAAATGTATTGCTAATTTTTTTATTTTGAATTTAAATCATTTCCTTAATTTTTATTTTATTTTACTGTAACACACGGTCTCCTTTTCCCTCCCTCTTTCTTCCAAGTGTTGGGTACTGCATTTTTGACATCTCTGTTGCCATGGTAATACAGATGGTGGCCATGTTGTAATATTTAGTAGCTAACAAGGGGAACAGGGTGGAGTCAGATAGCTTACGCCTACATTTACCGTTACCCACATTTCTATTTAACCAAGTTGTATCTTAAACTTGTAATACCTTAGAGGAAATGCTTCATCACTTTGTCCAGGTGGACCATAGCCACTCAGGCCTGATATATTTTTTGTAAACCCCTCTGACTGGATGATTTCCTCTGACAAATCTACATCTAAATCAACTAACGTAGAATAGCAACAGAGTGGACATTTGCAATTATCAGTGTCTGCAAAACCTTCAGCTTTAGGATTTAGATAAAGGACAAAATTTTTAAGGTCTGATATACCATGTGGAGTACTTAGCAACACAACGTCGGGTTTCAGCATGGTAATTTCAACTCCAACTAATTCACAAGCTTTATGTATCTCCCATGCTTGCTGTTTTGCTGTCGCATTTGTAGAATTAAAATGAGTAGGATCGAGTGCAATGCCTCCATGAGGCAAGACATAACTTGCAACAACTTTTGCACATACTGGCATAAATAAAACTGAAATGAGGAAAACTAAAATAATTGACATTTTGAAATTAATTATATTTAGGAGCCTATATTTATTCTAAAAATTTCAGTTTCGCTGTCGTACTATATTTCAGACTACAAACTAGAAACAGCTGATATTTGGAAAAGAGAGTAGCGTCTCTTTCGTACTTCCGACATAGACAAGCCAGATTGGCCTTGTTTTAAAAAAAAATCAATATAATTATTATATACAAAATTAAAATTGTATCAAATTAAAATTGTACTTAATGTAAATAAATATACGCTTAAAAAAAGTTTAAGCTAATAAATGTTTAAAATATTAAAACTACTTTAGATTTCTATTAATTTTCGTATCTTAGAAAATGCTTTTATTTCAAATTCACAAAAATTTGGCATAATGTTAAATAAAGCATTGGTGTTCGTGACAATTAGCATGCCAAGACTAAACAAAGACATAATAACACCACCAATTCTAATTGTGAGCTGGATTTCACAACTTATTTTGAGGTATGAGCCGATTTCACTTATCAGCTCTACAGTGAAAAATTTGGCTATAAATCTTTAATGCCTTTCGAAATGCAAACCACGCTACCACGAATGAAGACTGAGGACTAATAAAATACTAATACTAATAAACTAACAATAACTAAGACGAAGTCGACTTCAACGAAAAATAGTATTTTCTCTCTATTTTTTTTTATTGAGCTACTTGATAACGAATCAAACCTATTGCCAACTATTGCTTATTGGAATTTAGCTATTTTAGTTTTGTATACTTGCAATGATTCAGTTATCTACTTAGACTTAGACTAATTCTAATAAACATTGATTACATTTTACTTTTACCCAGTTTTAATTTTTACTTTTTTATTATTATTATTATGCTGAACCTGAAATAGTATGGATCGGCCCTCCTTAGAACGCTGGTCTAAAATTCAAAACACTATCACTAGTCAACACCGATCCCAAATTCAAAACGTTGGTAAAATGCATCCAATGAGCAGTTACTTTGGCAGTCCAATAATTTTTTTACCAAGTTCATGGTCAAATGTGATAATTTTCACTCAACATGACATAAAAAGTACTCTCTAAAAATGTGTACTTTGTTGCTAAAGTCATTAGAGTAAGCACCACTGGAAAGCACACTAGTGGATAGGAAAGAGGCCATGGCGTGTTCCATCTTGTTGAACTTCAAATGAATTCCAACACTCAATTCAGTAAAAGTTGGCCAGCACTACGTACACCGCGGTGGTGTACCTAGCGAAACTATTGACTTTGGCCTGCGTACACCGCGGCGGTGTACCTAGCTAAATCATGGTCTGTGGCCTGCGTACAACGCAGCGATTTTAAGTAACAAAACTATGGTCTTTGGGAGTCTTTAACTTTTTGGCCTAACCGGTACTTGTAGATTTAATGTTATACTCGTGTTAAAACTGAAAACTATTTATTTAAAAATCGTTTAGTACTATGGGAGGAGGATATTGATTAAGTTCCACGCTTATGTGGCAAAGTACTTGTAGAGCATTTCTTATTATTTTTTTTGGAAGGTGTAATGTTAAACCATGATTTATTTTTGAAGGTAACCACTTTATTCTCCCCCCCCCCCTTCCCTCCCCAATATATTGAAATACAAATATATTTATTTATTGTAAGTTTTATCATATGATTGTGAATCTTAATAGGCATAAAAAGGGTAGCTAATTTGTTTGGGGGGGGGGGGCATTATAAATATAACATTGTATGTGATCCCTCGGGGCGTGGTGCAAAAATGAATGAGAAAGCCAGTGAATCTATTTTGTTAGCACCAAGATATAATTACGACACAAATACACTACGGGAAAAGAATCACATGGTCATACATTGATCATGAAGTCGTGAAGTTAAAGTTGTCCGAGGCATTGTCATTGTGATACCAAGCATGTGTCAACACAAAACAATAGTATGCTGATAAATACGAAACACTGCAGTGATTTTTAAAGTCTTTTAACAATAATTAAATATCATTGATTTAAATTTTACATTGGCATTACACGTTAGTAAAAAATGCCGGCGGAGGGGGGGGGTGATGCAAAAGGTAAGTTTGTTGTGCGGACGTCCTTTGGGGACAACCCTTATCCAGAGCCGTGGATTGTGTAGGCCCTTTTTTTGGTTAAGCCTCTGCCCATAACTCACCCCCCACCCCGGCAAGGGTCGATTTCTTAAAAAAAAAAAACAACAACAAATACAAAAACTTTGACATAGTGCTAATCCTGTCCCAAGCCCAATGTGCAATGGTTTCTGTGAGAAAGCGTCATGTTTTACCCTGAGAATAGCACATGCCATGCCATTCTGGAAACAAATTCCGTCATGAAAAGGGTAAACGCAGACCTATTCCTATGGCTTTGCTATAGACGTAAGTTTCTAAAATCGAGGTGTTTTCAAAAGATTTGCTGTGAAACTGAGTGTTGTGAATGAACCTTTGATATCGTGTGTACATTTTGCCAATGCATAAGGCAAGATGAAAGCAAGATGGTTCAAGGTTGAAATACGACCATGCACAATAATGACATTAATATTCATACTCATATGATATTAATGATATACTGGTATTTTCTTTGGGTGTTCGTAAAAGTAAAATGTAAATATTCAACTACACGAAGATTGTTGAAATACAATAGGATATCACTTAGTATTCAAAATGTTTCTGTTATACATGTTACATACACTATACATGCGCTTTCAGAAACTTTAAGTTTATTTTCTAATGTCTAAATGTCTTATTACTAAATTTACCGGTATTTTCAAAGTCAAAGGCTGGCACAACTTGTTGAAACACTATAATATATATATATATATATAATTTAATACAATATTCAAAAATATGTTTAAATTGTTTAATTTGCTACAAAATATTTTAAAACTAAAATAGGAGGAACAAAAACTCGATCCCCTACTGGGAATTGATCTCGAAATATATTAACGCCAAGCATCCACTCTACCACTTGACCACACAAGATCTGCAACTACAAGTATATCTTAAAAGAAGACCAATGGTACATTTTTGCCGCGGTGTACCCAGGCCAAAGCCCACAATTTCGCTAGATACACCGCCGCGGTTTACGCAGGCCAAAGCCGATGGTTTCGCTAGGTACACCGCCGCGGTGTACGCATCCACTTCGGTAAAAGTTGGTGTACTTGTAGTTTACAATGGTGTCCAAACTTTCAATGCTTTTGAAAAGCAAAACATGCTTACATTTCACTTCCAAAGCCCAATAGAATATCATGACAATATTTCGTGTGCTTAGCCTTAGTCCACTGTTTGCAAACAATGACCAGCAGTGCATGTCAAATTGCAAGGATGGCATTTCCATACGTAAATGTAAGCATCAGGTGACTTAGTACGTTGATAGTTTTGAGACAGTGTGCAGCAAGACACTCTAACCATAGCATGCAGTCATGCATCCTAGAATACAGTGCCTTCTGCGTTTTGCCATAAGTTTGCAGAATGTTTCCTAGTAAAACATAATTTGCAATATAATATTGACATTACAAGAAATTATTTTGCAAGGCAGCTACATTCATTCAGAATTGTAGACATAAACAATTACATCACCAATTATCAGGGCTGACTGGCACTTTCAAACAAAAAGTATGCCAAAATATCTATGTATATTGGAGGTAGAGCCCAGACCTTGCAAACCCTCAGGTATTGTAGGGGCCTAAAGTTGTGATGTTAAGAAACTTCACTAACTCTTAAATTTGAATGCTGCAAGGTGGGATTGCAAACCAAAAATGGCAGTTGGGCTCCAGTAATCATGTGCTAGCTCTGGGTAAATTTATGGTTTAGTCCTAGAGGAAATGGAGGATGAGGAACCACATTGACTTTATCATTAACTTAAAACTTTCTCTTTAAATACAGTCTAATTAATTTACAATTTAACTGCTTCCTACATTAAATATAAGATTTGCAAACAAATATTTTTTTGGTAAATTTACTGTGCTTGTGATCTACTTTTTTTTTTTTACATGGCCACCATCTTCGTTGCCATGACACCAAACAAGGATGATGGCCATATCAAAAAAGTAGTGCACAAACACATCTATTAAAAAGGAAAAGGGAGAGAATGTTGTTTTTAGCTACCACACTTAACTAGGAAAATGATAGGTATGGGTTATTATTTTTAAAAAGACATGTTTTGAAACTTGTATTGTTTTAAAAAAATATTATTAAAGAACATTTGTCTCTGTTACAGCTGAGTAATGTCTTCGTCCCTTGCAAAAATGAAAGCTTCAGAAAAATCAGAAGCAGTCACAGTACATAACGGAAATGCAAAACATCTAGAGTCAAGTAATGGTACATCTGCTGTCAGTATTACAGATGGTGCCAAAAGTACCGGCCGTAAAGACAGAAGGAAAGAATGGTGGGATAAGAAGAAAAAACCTGAAAAGAAGATTGTGCAGAAAACCAAATCAGATACTGAAAGAGAGGGTCAACACCGAAATGTGGAAGTAGATGTACTTACAGCTGGGAGCGGTGATGGTGTGCAGACTGAACAGAGGACAAAGCTTCGTGAGTTTACCAATATTTCTCTCTATTGCGTCATTTAATTAAATTTGCTCTACTTTGCGCTGTTAATTATTCAACAATATATTTACAACAGACCTGTTTACCGTCAAACTCTTAAAAGCGTACGATATCTACACAAAATCGTTCAATACATTATCTTAATAGAAAAACAAGTAAACAAACAGGATGATTAATGTATACACCTCAAAATCGTACATTGTATGCCAAAATCGTAAGAGTAAACAGGTCTGTTATAACAATAGTAATTAGTTTGTTTTGTGCATTACAATATTAGCCCTTGTTTTAAATTTCAGGTAACAGAGAAACCATAGCGAAGCCTGACAGTTTAAAATATGAGCCTGACTTTAACCGTGGCTTCCACAGCAAAATTATGCAGAACCTGTACACAGACACATCAAAGAAAAAGAGAAAAAAGAACAGCCGACAAGAAACCCAGAAAAGGAAATCAATGTCTGCCTCAAACGATGAGCAGGAGAGTGGCAAAAAACTGAAGCCGGGAGAAGAAAGTGAAGTTTTGGATTTGTACAAATTTTCTTTGAACTTGATCAATGGAGATGTTGACACATCCAAATCGGCAACATCAAAGGATTCAAAAAACAAATATGTCTTGTTCATTGGTAATCTCCCTTTCGATATCACAAGGGAACAGTTAGAAGACCACTTCAGAAAAACTGGTAAGTCATTAACTTTTTACTCTTTTTGAGGAGTCTTGGTGTTATACTCTCTACATGCCAAAGAACTTGTATACTAATCTGTGTACCCGGCGGTTGCCACTTTATGCGTCATTCGGGTGTTCCGACAAATGCATCCAAATGCTACACACCTCTCAAGATTTTTTTTAAAATAGCAAAACATTCTCGAATCCCTCTAGACTTCTGGCGATTGCATGATTTCAAGTTTTTTTTTTTAATGTTTCACTTTCAATCTTTGTGTGCTTTAGTACAGTGTGTGTATATCTAGCATGTGTTCATCTGAGGTTCCAAAAATAGATTTTTCGGTCATTGCTTGTTATTCGTTCACAGTTAATGTTGTATTTCTTTTATTAAACCTAATTCATTTCTGGATGCATTTATCCTAAATTCATTATTATTGATTAAGGCTTAAAAAGTATTGTACAAATGTAAACCAATTTCAAGACTGCGTTTCCTCCCCTGCTTGGGCATACAAATTAAATACGGAACTAGAAGTGCCATCAAGAATGAATTAAGTTGCCTAAAGTTGTGATGTGTAAAAAGTGTTAACTGTCAACTTTGAATGCATAGGATTCAAAACAAAAATTGTTCAGGGGGCCTCCAAAAGTCACAAGACAGCTCTGTCTGCATACCATACATGTTGTTAACACTTTACATACTCTAAAATTGATATACTTTCTACATACCCTACAAGACGAATACTCTGTGCATTCCCTTTAAGTTGTAGACATTGCATATGGTTGTACTCTCTACATACCCTATTATTTGTAATTATGGTCAGCTTGACACTTTTAACTATCAGCAAATCATTCTTCAAAATCCAAAAAAGTACTTTAACTACTCGCATTGACTGGACTACTATAGGTTTTTCACAGTGGGTGGCTTGGCTAATCTGGCTAGTGATGGAAACCGAATTGAATGACTGTTCATTTAATTTTTAACAATGATATTTTTTAAGTTAAAAAGAGATATTTGCTTATGTTTCCTTGAAGTTTTCCTTTTAAAATTTTTGTGATAAACCAAACATAATATTTTAATGAATGAACATTTTGTTATTACTCTCTTAAGAAATGACAAATCTCTTACATGTTAACCATCATTAGTATTTCAAAGTATCTTAAATGTAAATTCTTTTATTTAGCATTATTTCCATTTGTAGAATATGTAGATGCCAAAGATGTAAAGAACTAAGAAAAGATTCTTTTTGATCCAAATAAATGGAAATTTTTTTTTTTTAGTACATAAAATTAATTTCAAATACATAAATAAATACATGTTTTTACCTAGACAACATTTTACAATTATAACAATTTATATTCAAGACATCTAAAGTATTTCTGTAGCATAGATATTAGCCATTAATGAACTCATTGAGTGACATTAATGACTTCATTGTGATCATTTAGATTTGATAACTGCTGGGGGAGCACGCTAGTAAATTCGTACATATGGGAAAAAAATAATTTTCATATCTGTTTGGTCCCAACTTTAACAGAGAGAATTCGCCCTAATCAAGCTGATCTTAAGTATCTGTGATGAGGAGGGTGGGATGTATCATCCATTCTCACATATATTGTCCTAATTTTTGCCCATGTAAATCAGATGAATCATGGGCTGTTGTAAATGTTTTTTGTAAGTTTTACTGCCACTGAAGAGTTTTTGTATTTCAGGTGGCATCAAATCAATCCGCATTCCTCGAGACAAAGGGACTGAGAAGGGCAGGGGTTTTGCTTATATGGAGTTTGACGGTCGTATTAGTCATGGGGTAGGAACTGTTTTTTTTTTATGATATGCATTGTATGAGCAAAGTTTTAATGTGGTCAGTGATATGCTTAGTGGGAAGGGAAAACGTGAGTGGTGTGTTAACATAGTTTTCTATGCCACTTTGATACGAGTGGTAGCCATTTTAAAACAATGTCACTTGCCTTAACCATAAAATATGACACAGTGCCCCATGGGGCTGCCAACTCACTGTCTGAAATTATTTGGCCTAAAATGACTTGTCCGTAAAATATACATACAATTCTTTAGGATGCGCATGAAAATGAGACATTGTTGCTATACAAACGGCTTCCAGAGCAGAGATCTCAACTTTTGTGATTTCTTTTTGCTTTCTTGAAACTTGTATGATCAAAGTCAGGAGAAAGTGAACACTGATGAGAATGCCATTAGACAAAGTCAGGAGAAAGTGAACACTGATGAGAATGCCATTAGACAAAGTCAGGAGAAAGTGAACACTGATGAGAATGCCATTAGAAAGTGAACACTGATGAGAATGCCATTAGACAAAGTCAGGAGAAAGTGAACACTGATGAGAATGCCATTAGAAAGTGAACACTGATGAGAATGCCATTAGAAAGTGAACACTGATGAGAATGCCATTAGAAAGTGAACACTGATGAGAATGCCATTAGACAAAGTCAGGAGAAAGTGAACACTGATGAGAATGCCATTAGACAAAGTCAGGAGAAAGTGAACACTGATGAGAATGCCATTAGAAAGTGAACACTGATGAGAATGCCATTAGAAAGTGAACACTGATGAGAATGCCATTAGAAAGTGAACACTGATGAGAATGCCATTAGAAAGTGAACACTGATGAGAATGCCATTAGAAAGTGAACACTGATGAGAATGCCATTAGAAAGTGAACACTGATGAGAATGCCATTAGAAAGTGAACACTGATGAGAATGCCATTAGAAAGTGAACACTGATGAGAATGCCATTAGAAAGTGAACACTGATGAGAATGCCATTAGAAAGTGAACACTGATGAGAATGCCATTAGAAAGTGAACACTGATGAGAATGCCATTAGAAAGTGAACACTGATGAGAATGCCATTAGAAAGTGAACACTGATGAGAATGCCATTAGAAAGTGAACACTGATGAGAATGCCATTAGAAAGTGAACACTGATGAGAATGCCATTAGAAAGTGAACACTGATGAGAATGCCATTAGAAAGTGAACACTGATGAGAATGCCATTAGAAAGTGAACACTGATGAGAATGCCATTAGAAAGTGAACACTGATGAGAATGCCATTAGAAAGTGAACACTGATGAGAATGCCATTAGAAAGTGAACACTGATGAGAATGCCATTAGAAAGTGACCACTGATGAGAATGCCATTAGAAAGTGAACACTGATGAGAATGCCATTAGAAAGTGAACACTGATGAGAATGCCATTAGAAAGTGAACACTGATGAGAATGCCATTAGAAAGTGACCACTGATGAGAATGCCATTAGAAAGTGAACACTGATGAGAATGCCATTAGAAAGTGACCACTGATGAGAATGCCATTAGAATGCCATGAAATAGATTTATCAATTAGGCACAAGCCTTATGGTCATAAGGTTTGCTGTGGAGCACGTGTAAAAGCTCCTCTGTGAAATAGTCCAAAGTTATGTGTTTAGCCAGTTGGCCTTAAGTGATAGACATGAGTCTAAAGCAATGGATGTTAGAAATTAAAGTCTAAAATTTATAGTTTTTGTGTGTGTTGTAAATAAGCTTAAAATAAGGCTTTAATCATGGGCACCCACATAAATATACAAAGGTGAAATCCGCCTGAAATTAATAACTAAAGAGAAAATGCTAAATCAATACAGCATCTTAAATTGAACTTAATAAACAGTTGACAACCCTGCAAAAAAAGGTGGCCATGTCCTATTTTTTTAATACCTTATTTTTATCAAGTTACCTAAATTTGACCTATTCCTTAGATTGCCCTGCGTTTACACCAAACTACACTCGGAGGCAGGAAAATCAATGTTGAGTTCACATCCATTGGAGGAGGCAAATCTGAAGCCAGGAAAGAAAAGCTCAAACAGAAGAATCACAAACGGAGAAGAATGAAGATGCAATGAGGGCACACCCTCTGAGAAATCATTGACCTTGACCTCACTGTAGCATTGCCATTTGACCTCATTGTATCATTATTGTGACTCTTTCTCACCTTGACAGTGTTCTATGAATGTAATCAGGGTTTGTCTCTTACAGATGTAAGCAAGGTAAGGAAAAAAGTAAAATTTAAAATATATGTAATATTTGCAGGAGTTCAGTTGAATAGTGTTAACTTTATTTAGAATGAAAGCTGATTGTCCATTAAAGCAGGGATGGCCAAGCTGCATTGGACTGCACAGTAAATATTGCAGCCTGCAATACAGCATATATATCACAAATGAAATTCTATTTTTCTTCATTAACCCTTTACAGTCCAAGCCTATTCATTCAGCCTTTTCTACTCCTAGCGACCAAGCAAGGGGACATTACCCCATTTTAAATGAAGGTTCTTTATCTAATTAGTTTACAGAAAATAAACTAAAAGCAAGAAAATAAAAATATGTAAATACAAATAAATGATGTAAGGAAAAGCTCCACCCAAAATGAGTTTCAGGGTCCCTCCCATTTTGATTTGTGAAAAATTCCCAGACCACTCATGATCTTGCTAATCAGTTGGAGTGGAATTGATAAGTCCGTTGTCATCGATGTCTCTACTATACTATTATCTTCTTCACTTGAATCACTATCACTAGTAGCATCATTTAAATTAATGTCTCTATCAAATTTTTCACTTCCGCTGCTAGACTCATGAAATAGTGAAGCTTCATTAGGCCTAAGTTCTTTCAGAATTTTATCCAAGGCTTGGAAAGCCATTTTTTACACCAAAAAAATCACAACTTTTAAAAAAAATGTTAGAAATTGAGCCCTTAAACACACTGCGTTCAAACTAGTATCAAAATAAATGCAGACAACAAGGCTTTCTTCCGGTAGAACTATAAAAAGTAATGCATGCCAGATTTTCACTGTGCTAAGCGACAAAGTAAACGACCTCATAACGTGCGGGTTTGGCAGCAACGGACTGTAGGCTTAAGGAAAAATTTGGCGCGTTTCGGACGCATCAGACTGTAAAGGATTAAGATTGCACCTTTTTCTCATTCTAGTTATACATGCACATGGTGTTTACATGGCCTTTATTTAATTTGTTAGTGTAATTATATGCTTCCTATTCTGAACATTGTTTATTGAGATGTTTGAAAACATAAGTTTTATTTTAAAATTATCTTTTGAAGAAGGAATTGTCTGCTGAAGAAGGAATCTACCTGAAAGGTCCGCTTAAATTGTCTTGTACCGTATTTTATTTTGAAGCATGAACATATCTTGTTCCACTGCAGTATTTATTTACATTTTAAATTATTGAATCATTAAAAAATTATTATTTTAAAACAGGTTTATATCTCGTTGAAATGATAAAATCTGTTAAAATGTATTTATGTGTGTGTATTCTGATCAGAGAATTATGTGCAATAAGAAGTAATAAATAATTATGTGTAGCGTTCGGTCGGATGGTGTTTATTTAATTGATCAGTGTAGTGAGATTGCATTGTGCTAAGAGTTGACCTGTGGCCAAAATGGCCAGTGAAGACATTTTGGGTTGGCCAGCCCTGCATTAAAGGAATATCATCATTTAATACAGCGGTTCTCAACCTGTGGGTCGCGACCCCTTTTGGGGGTCGCACGACCCTATCCCAGGGGTCGCCTCAGACCATCTGAAAACACATATGCTCTACATTTATGAAGTAGCAATGAAAATAATTTTGTGGCTGGGGGTCGCCACACCATGAGGAACTCTATTAAAGGGTCGCGGCATTGCAAAGGTTGAGAACCACTGATTAATAAGTGAAGATGAGATTTGTAAACATAACCATAAAAGTATAGTTCTAACACAGGACAGACGGGAAATGTGGAGATGGATTGGTGGGTTGGGGAGGGGGGGGGGTAATTATAGTATCACTTTTTGTCATTTCAAGTTTTGTGAGTATTCACTTGACATTGCTGTATATATCTTTGTGGTACCAATGTCTTCTGGATTGGCCAGTAGACTGCCTGGGTGTGAGAAAGTGATTACACTATTGGAAATGTAATGTTGTATTGTTTAATACTTTTCATCATCATTGTTGTTTAACTTGATTGTTTTTTTGTTATTCAACATATTTTAAAAAATCGAATAAACACAACAATTTTGTGAGTAGCTCTCTTGTGAGGTGGTGAAGTATATTCTATTGTGTTGAGTTGTATCAGTTTCTGGTCATTCCCTATGGTAGGAGTCCTTAATTCCCCCCAATGACAGGACTCCCGATTCCCCTGTGGTAGGACTCTCTGATTCCCCAGTGGTAGGACTCCCGGATTCTCCAATGGTAGGACTCCCTGTTTCCCCAAGGGCAGGACTCACTGCCTCCCCACGGAGAACTCCATAACTCACTAGTCCTTTGAAAGCTCCCACACTTTCAATAACATGGAGAAAAGAATAGCTTTTTTATTTTCTAAATGTTACCCTTTTTACATGTTTCATTTAAGTTTTTTTGCCATTGAAGTTGAAAAGCTTATTTTATTATCTTGTGGGGAAAACTAGCTTTTGTGAAGATAACTGTTCAAGATTCAATTTATTAAATCAACCGAGGCTTACAACATTAACCAGTGATGTCAAAAACATTCATGTCATAATTAACTATGGTAAGCATCAGGTGGGAGAATGTATGTATTTTTTAAGTTTATAAATAACTTGGCTACAACATGTTTAAATTAAGCTTTACACTGAATGGAAATTGAGCGCATGAAAAGCATCAGATTACTGAGTGACTATATTATATGATGGGAATTGACAAAGTGCAGTGGGATGTTGAACTGCACACATACCAGTGAATTATTACTTGTCATTGGAGATGTATTAGGTCTACAGCGACTTCCCTTCTAAGTTGTTATTTTCATGCTGGTGTTAAATTTCTTTGCTTAGCAAATCAATAGTTGGATACTGATTTACTTAAATGAAGTTGAATAACATGTGGGATGTTTTTATCATTCATGGGTTGTGTCACATCTATTGCTCTACATTTCTTTTCATTTTGGACCTGCTTGTGTATCCTTGAAAAAGCTTGTCTCCCCATGTATTCAAGGTGGCTCCTGTTCAGGGAGCCAATCTATGGCCAAAATGACAAAAAAAGCTTATATCACCCTTCCACACACTAATAAATACTGTCTCATGGATAAGTCCAAAGAAGTAAGTTGTCTCCCATTTTGATCTTTATAATGAAAAAGGGAAACAATCTCTTAAGGCAGACATTTGGTATAAAAATGCCCTGCTGTATTATTTTTCTGCAGTGATAGGTTTGGTAAACAGAATAGGGTGTCACATCTATACAAATCAGGTTTGACTTTATTCACACAAATGGTGGTTTAAAATAATTTTTAATTTTGCTTCCTTATTTAATTTAGTGCCACTTATATTTTGTTGGTGAAAATTTTGATTTTTATATTTTGTAAATTTTTAGTTAGCATTCTTTTCTTTGTTCCTTTGTTTTTCTTTAAATTGTCTTTATTTGAACTCCTGAGTTTGTTTGATGTTTAAAAAACAAAACAAAAAAAAAAAGAAACATTTATTTCACTTTCACACCTGCACATTTTGGAAGGAAAAAAAAAAAGTCTCATTTTATAAGCCAAGACCAAGACATGTATTTGGGGGATATTTGGTAATGTTTCAATTCAACTGGTTTGATTGATTCTTAAAAAAAATTTTTTTTATATAATTATGGTTAATTATGTTTGTATAATTTTTAGCTTTGGACGCATCTTCTTAGAAACATTTCCTGTGTATTAGTTGAAGCATTTTTAAAAATAACTTCAGTTAAACATACTGTCTGTTCATTATTTGAAATGTTATTTGACATGCAAACTTTAAATTATCATCTTGATTCAGAGGCCACTGACTGTCATTATCCCAACGTGCCACCTTCCTCAACACACATCATTAGAGGCCACCTTCCTCATCAACACACATCATTAGAGTTTATCTAAATTTGAGAGCTCCGGGATGTGGCTTACATAGGTTTAGAGTTGATTATGTTTACCATTACTGCGCTTTAAGCCAAGAAACATACCATTTGAGTATGAGGGGAACATGTCCTATTGTAACCCCCGTGTTTTGTCATGTTGATTCTCATTTTATGAGAAAAGTTTTGTGTTTTTTTTCCCTCCATGTTATTATAAATTGAAATAACGTTTTTTGTAAGACATTATGTTAAGCATAATTTATGATAATTTATTCATTGTCAAAACATTTTCATTAAAAATCTCTAGTTAACAAAACAAATGATAGTTAATGTGCTAATTTTGTTGTAATATGATCATTTTCTTGTAATATTTCATTCGTTTATATTATTATTGATATGCTCATTCTGTTGTTCACTTGGGTATTTCTGAGATTTTAAGCCTTTCAAGCCTATAAGTAAGATGTAGTGAAGCTTCGCTATTACCTCCCTTTGTAGCAACAGTTCTGAACACGGGTTTATATTTAAAGTTATAAGATGTGTACAATTGGTGAGTCACATGACCAAGTGACATGTTTTTTACTCTTTCAAAACCACAGGGAGTAAAAGGGGTTGAAATGGGTTCCATCCGTTCATTTTTAAATTGTAAGCAGAGTGGGTAGGCCATTGAATTAGTGAAGCTGAGTGGGTAGGCCATTGAATTAGTGAAGCTGAGTGGGTTGGCCATTGAATTAGTGAAGCTGAGTGGGTAGGCCATTGAATTAGTGAAGCTGAGTGGGTTGGCCATTGAATTAGTGAAGCTGAGTGGGTAGGCCATTGAATTAGTGAAGCTTATTGGGTTGGCCATTGAATTAGTGAAGCTGAGTGGGTAGGCCATTGAATTAGTGAAGCCGAGTGGGTAGGCCTTTGAATTAGTGAAGCCGAGTGGGTAGGCCTTTGAATTAGTGAAGCCGAGTGGGTAGGCCATTGAATTAGTGAAACAGAATGGGTAGGCCATTGACTTAGTAAACAGAGTGGGTAGGTCGTTGAATTAGTGAAACAGAGTGGGTAGGTCGTTGAATTAATGAAACAGAGTGGGTAGGCCAGGGGTCGGGAACCTGTTTGTCTGAGAGAGCTATGGACACCACATATTTTGAAAATTAATTGTGTGAGAGCCATACATTATGTTTAAAACTAAAAATTCAAGTAAATTTACCACTTCCAATGCTGAGCTGCAGTAGACTTTAGCTCATTTGTGGCATGAAATATTGATATGCAATTAATATGTAGTTCAAAGGAGTCTAAAGAAGCTTTTTTTTAATAATCGAACATTTGTCTGCGAGACACATGCAGCCATCAATAGAGCCACATCTGGCTCGCGAGCCATAGGTTCCCGACCCCTGGGGTAGGCCGTTGAATTAGTGAAACAGAGTGGGTAGGCCTTTGAATTAGTGAGAGTGTGTAGGCCTACCAGGCAATACAGAAAGAATTGTAACAAAAATAACAAGTCAACAAATTTTCTTCATGAAATTATAGTTTATCAACATAGACGGTAAGAACTTAATGAATATATCTCAATAAATGTTTGATTAGCTTTAATTAAAAACTGGAGGATCCATAAGTTAGTGACATCTTGGTTGTCACAGCTCCAAACTTTGTGACAGTCTTGTGACACAGTTGACAGGTTGAAACAAGCAAAGATAGTCTCAGCAAGTCCTTGTGACATGCAACAATATCTAACATGGATACACATACACCCATAACACACACATACACACACATTATTTAAACACACACATCTAATACTGTTAAATACAAACATCTACCATAGTAGACAATTATTAAAACATACATGGCATCAGGTTAATAAGTAACTAGTCTGTAAAAATATCTCACATGACATCTCTATGTATGATCCTGATAATATGGCACACATGTCAGGTGCAAATGACATGTGAATGGCAGGAATAAGACACTTGTTTTAAAAAAATGTATGACAATGATTTTTATAACATTTGTTAACTAAATGACAACTGGTGAAACAAGACACATACAAGTCCCACACAAGACATGTACAAGTCCTACATGAGACATGTACAAGCCCTACACGAGACACACACAAGTCACAATCCTGACCTGTAGATGAAGTGACTAGATAATTCATGGTATCAATTTCTAATTAAATACTCAACTAACAACATGTTTTGTTTATTAGACAAGCTAAGTTTATTATACACTGCCTCCCAACACACAGCCACATACCCACACTTTCAAGCATCGTCTTTAAGCCCGGGGCTCAGTCATGTCAATGTAACACATACAAACGTGTACATTACCATCAAGGACAAAAAAAACGCACTGGTTCCATGGCATTTCCTGACTTCTCACAAAAGGTCTATTCAGGGAACCAATGGCCACCTATTCAAAGAAATAATAGCCGCATTGTCAGGGAACCAACAACCACCACCTCCCCTTGGAACCAATAGCCACCATACATTTGGAGCCAAAGGCCACATTCACTGGGAACCAGTGGCCACCATAAATTTGGAACCAAGGGCCACATTCTCAGTGAACCAGTGGTCACCTACTGAGGAGAGAAGTAAACATTCCATCGACCAAGTTTCGTGCAAGTCACACTGACCTACATAAAATCAAGTGCTCTTACTCCTTCCATCAAGAATAAATAAGATAATAAAGCTATTTTCTCTTTAGAGAGAATGTGGGAATTCGAAATATGCCGTATCCTGAAATTTGATCGAAAGAAATTTCGTCGACGGTAAATAGATCGAATATAATTTGATCGAACGGAAATTTGCTCGAATCTTTTTTTTCTTCAGTTTTTACGTTAAAATTTTGCTTCAAATTTTTT